CTCAGGGCAGGGGGTTGGAATTGGATGATCTTTAAAGTCCCTTCCAACCAAAATCACTCTTTGGTTCTATGATATAAATTCCATAGTGAATGCAGAGAGATTCTCTTCTGTCTTCTGCATAAAGCTTACACAAAACCCCCCAAGTAGGGGAATAAGCCTCACCTAAGGAATGTGGCATGGCAGATCTGTGTTTTGCTTTAATTAACATCCTGATGCAATACCGGCTTGGCGTGCAGATCGCTGTTTTGTAACACACCGAGCCCTTGATAGACTCTGTAAGGAACCTGGCAAACACAACACTTCCTTCCATTGTCTGTTGTTTTTCTTGGAGGCTGAATATTTTCATTGAAATGTCATTTACATACACAGCTCATGCTCGGCTGCTCTCAGAGAGCACTCAGGCACTGGGCTTTCAAAAAACAAAGTGAATTCAGCATTTAATCACAGCTTAGCACTCTGCTCACTTGTTAGCAAAACATACAGTTGAAAGGCAAAATCACAAGCAGAGTGGTTCCGTAATAACAAAAACTTGTGCAGATTTTACCACTGGTCAGTACCTGCCTGCTTGAGCTGCCTCCCAAGGCACTGCAGGGTTAGAAGGTGCTTGTGTCTGGCAGGGTAGAGCTGATAAACAGCAGGAATGGGACACTGGGACTCTGAGCTTGCAAACTTGTGGGCAGAGCTTTCCTCAGTGCGTGACTTGTACCCGGCAGGAAGGAGCCACTGTCACCTCAGCTTTTCTGTGACAGAAATCATCTGAATAATTCATCAGAGTTAAGAGACCAAGCTGGAAAAGCTTCAGGGTTGGGGGTTTTGGCTCAGCTTGGGCTAGGTTTTTTTTCAGAGCTAAGGAGTACTTCAGGGTTCGGTCAAACAGGATGTTCACCCTAAAACCTTGTTCTCAGCAGAGATGCCATAGCCTCAGAAGACATCTCATAGGGAAAATACTCTGGTTTTTTTGGAGAACCAGAAAAAGTAGCTGACAGGATCAAGGTAAAGCAGTCCTGCCAAGGGGATCAGATCACAGGTGCCCCAAAGAGGTGAAACACTATAGCAGGCAGGCACTAGGGTTTTTACTTTCTTTAACTAGATCCTAGTATTGATAGGAATTCCTCTGGATTTTTCAATATCCTTGACTGCAAAAAATTGCAATGAAACTCAGAGGTGTTTCTCCAGCTACTTCAGCTACTGTCATTACTTACCTAGTTACACACTACCCTGGGCTGCTCCATAAGTTTTGGAGGTGCCACCTAGACCCATTTTTAGCCTGTTTTCCAAAGACAGTAAGAAAATTACTATCTATCCCAACTTGCCAATCCTTAGTAATTTCTGACCCATTGGGTGAAGTTCAACCAACTTTGACAGAAGAGTAGAGGTAGCAAAAATATTAAGTTCCTACATATTTTAAGGAAATATGGATGAATAAAGGAGAAATAGGAAATTACTGTCTTAATAGATTTTTAACATGGTCTCATATTCTTCTGGAGAAGCAACAGCACCAGATCCTATGGCTTTGACTAGTACAGGTTACAGAGAAATCTCAGGAATCTCAGGGAAACCAAACTCTGCTGCTTCACACTTCATTGCAGATGAACAATAGAGATGAAGTCAGAGTTAAGCCTTGGAAATCTGCTCTGATCTGCGCAGGCAGCTCTGTCAGGAACAGCGTTTGTAAATGGAACCACAAAACTCAGGCAGAAAAGACATTTAGACTGAATTATTAGGAAAAAATTCTTTACTGAAAGGGTTGTCAAGCACAGGAACAGACTGCACAGGGAAGTGGTGGAGTCACCATCTCTGGAGGTACTTAGAAGATGTGTAGATGTGGCACTTGGGGACATGGTGGCATTGGCAGTGACAGCTAATGGGTTGGACTCAATCATCTTTGAGGCCTTTTCCAACCTAAATGGTTCTAAGATTATATGTGTTTATGTAAATCCATTTTTATGCATGATTTTCCAGCATGCAGAAAATGAATCATCAATACCCATCGAGGCTGATTATGCAGATGAAATATTAGTATCTGACATTACCAGCCAGAATGGATTATCAAGATCTTTCCCTATACTGACAGGTGAAATAAGGTAGATCATTTAGAAGGTACAGTAGTATAATTCTTACAAAATAGCACCAACAGCAACCAAAAATCCTTTAACTGCTCATTAACAGAGCTCACTATTACACCGAAATAGTTCAATAAATCTACTTCTGAAATCAATTTATTTCCTCCCATCTTCTACAGTATCCTCTGGGGAAATCTCACCCAGCACCCAGAAGGAACAGAACTTTCAGTTTCATTTTAGTTTTTGACTTTGTTGCCAGCATAGGTCTTAACAGTGCTATAGGAAATCTAAGCTTGGGAAGGAGCAGATTTTTTCATGGTTGGAAAGCACATCATCCTCATGGAAATATGACAAATGTTCTACAGTATTTTTCTATAGTGCCTGCAAAATTTTGGCAGAGTCATCACAGTAGAGGCAGTGATTATCTTCATTTGTATTTGGCTTTGCAGCTGCACCAGAAACCACCTCACACCAAAGCTGAGCTATCCTGCTGGGAGTGAAAGGCAGCAAGGAGTCGTCCACAGCCTCGTTGAACTTAGAGGCACTGGGCTGGAATATCTTGCATTTTGGGAAAATAAATAAAGAGAAAATAGCCCAGCCCAGCCCTTTCTAAGGAACAGTATAACTTCTTGGGAAAGTACGTGAAATTCTGTGCTGTCAAATCCAGGAATCTCTAACCTGCACTTCTGGTCTACCTTGCACTAAGAGGATTGTGTCAGTTTGAACAGTTCTGTGATGGCTTGTATAAAATATATGTGAGAACAAGGTGGTGAAACTAAAGCCAGGGATCTTATTTCCCCATGAATATACTGGGAAACACAGATTCACTAACTGCTACATAACCCTGGAAAGTGTTCCAGTGCTGCCAGCGGGGAAAAATTAAGTGTCAAGTAGACATGGACAGCTGCCTCTTAACCTCCCTTCTTTCCAAGTCCAACACAGACACTGAGACATTTATGTGCCCGTATCTTTGACAGAATAAATGAGGTGTGATATTTATCCTTCAAGCTGGCCTGCTAACAAGCATGGCTTTCATGTAAGAGTAGATGCACTCAAGGACAAATATAAACAGGGAGTCTTGGTCTGCCTTCAAAAGCCTTCTCTCATGGAGCTGCTGCAAGGTGCTCAGGAGCTATAATGTGAATTTTCCACATCATACCAAGGAGTGCTTGAAAGGCTGGTAATGAAAATGCTATCCACACCACAAAATAATCCTTGGGAAGTATTAGCTAGAGTCCACTTAGCAAGCAATGACCCAGGGAGAAGGGAATATGGATTTGGGATTTGTTATGTTCATGATACTGATCTTTGAGTGGCCCTGATTTTACCCCTTCTTTCTTTGCAATCTAAGTGGCTTTCTCAAAGCTGCTTGATCAGAACCCTTTCTGCTTCATATCAGAACCCAAGTTTCAAATGTAGCCAAAATTAGAAGAAATTGTTTAGAAGAAATACACAAAAATGAGAAGCTGAAAAACCCACAGGGAATCTAATAATAATCAGGGCAGAAGTGTAAACAAATAGATAAGATGCTTCATGCTGTGTGATGGTTCACAGCCATTGTATCAACAAGTTGGTGTTACCTTGGAAACAAGAGATTATCCATGCATGCCATCTCCCAAAGAGGAATCCATGAAAGGAGGCATGCAAAATGGATTTTGAGCCTCCTGGGCTTTGCAGTGTTGCCACCCAGTTCTTGATACCAATTTACCCCAAGCCTAACTATTGATGAAAACTCAGAAACAATGCAGAGGTTGCACCCTCCTTCATGTAACATCCAAAGAGATGAGGGTGAGTACCTGGCCTTCTTGTCCTCTCCACCTTGAGATAGCACAGCACTTTCCAAAAAAAGTGCAGAAAGGTTATTCCCTACACTCAGTTTATTGCTCTTGGTTTACCTTGTAACTAACACAAGGCACAGCTCTTCACTGGGGCTGGGGACTGCTTGGAGCTGCCACCCCAAATGCTGTGATGGGCTCCAGCTGCTGGCTTCACCCCACTGGGCATCAGTGAACCTGTGTCCCCCTGGAACAGCTAAATACTTGGCCTTTGGAAAATTAATTGGCTGGGTTTACAATTACAGCTATAACAGGAAGGATAATTCCCTAATAAGTGTTGAATAGTGAGAAAGTATAAATTTATACTGATATTTATAAATTTATATCTGTGTCACCTCTCATTACAGAACTACATTTCAGATAACCCAAATATCTGGAAACAGTGATTTTATTAAAGTTATGGTTACAGTACATTAAAAAAAGCTAATAATAAGTCAGAATAATATCTATTTATTTTTTAAAGAGATTAAACAAAAGTAAGGATTGTAAATCAATTTATCATAAAATTGGTACTTCCCACAATCCAGCTGGCTTGTTGGAATTTGTACAACACTAATGTTCCTGTGCAAGTCCTTTTGCAGCACTCTGAACTGAAATGTAGGGCTACAAAAACACACTAAAAATTTACAGGATGCTATTCTCCCCATAACGCCAGCACAACAACTTCTGAGAACATCACCATGCCTGGACCTTACCAACAGACAAGGGACCAGAATTTTCTCCAAGAACTTCCTCTGAGATATTTAATCCCAGAGCTGCCTCTGTCAGATGCTCTAGGCTTCCCTATGGCACATCTGGCTCTTCTCAGCTGTAATTTACTCCCCTGCTCTGTCTGTTCTGCTCTTTTTTTGATGCAATCTCAAAAAACCCTCTGGTTTGATTTGGGTGAGACCAGTCACAAAACAATTTAATTCCCAATTTTACAACAACACAGCACATCACAACTAGAAATCTGGTTCTGATCACCCTCCAGGGATTTTGCAGTCTGTAGCACACAAGACAAGTATCTCTTACATATCCCATTTTTTGGGTTAAAGAACAAAACCAGAACAAGAAGAGTTGGCAACTTTGATATAAAAACTCCATTAGGTTCATTACTTACAACTGCATGACCAAATATAAATGGTTCGGGCTCTCATAGATGTCTTCCAGAGCAACTATATTTTCATGCTTGATCCTGAAAAAATACAAGATTAGATAGAATGAAATAGTGCTTCTAATTTTTTTTTTTCACATGACTGCAAAACATAGAGCTATTTTTAGTTACATAATACTTGTCAGTGTTTTATTCAACATCATAAATTTTTGCAAGGACATGTAATGATAGAACAAGGGATAATAGCTTTTAACTGGAAGAGGATAGATTTGGATTAGATACTAGGAAAAAAAATCTTTACTGTGAGGGTGGTGAGGCACAGGCAAAAGTTGCTCAAGGAAGTTGCAGATGCCTCTTCCCTGAAGGGTTCAAAGCTGGGTTGGACAGGGCTTTGAGTAACCTGGTCTAGTGGAAGGTGTCCCTGCCCAAGGCAGGGAGAATCAGATGATCTTTAGGGCCCTTTCAACAAAAGTAAGCGGTCCAAAATACTTCACAGCCCTGAATAGAGTTATTCATAATATATTGGTGAGAGGGGAGGAGGCATTTTTCTCCCCTTTGTCTCAGCCTCCCCAAGACTGAACAATATCTTTCAATCATCTCTGAAGCCAAAACGTTTAACAGTTAAGTGTCTGAGGCATTAGAGGTATACAGTTCCTGTGTCAGATGAATGAAGGTGGTTGGTTGGAGGACAGCTTTGGTTGGAGGACAGCTTTGCTGCAGGGTGCAAGGGAGTGGCAGGCAGGGTGCAGGCTGGCAGGGGGTCAGCAGGGATCTGACCCTGTGAAGAAGCTGCCACAGGGAATCAGCAGCCATGACAGCTCCTTCCCTCCAAATTCGTGCTGCTCTGATATTAAGCCTGGTCTCCATGCCCAAACTTCCCTGCAGCATCATTAAGAACTGTGTGCAACAGCTCCAAGAGTCTCCATGGCTGCTCTACATCCTCACCATTCCCACCAAGCCTCTTGCCAAAACACTAGCTTCAAAGAGAAAAATCATCTCTACAAGCACACATCTAATTAGCTACTTCAGCAATGCCTCTATGGGTTTGTCCCTTAAATGTTTACAAATAATTTGCAAAGGATATATTTAACTTGTGCAAACCCTGAAGAGACTACCCCAGTGCAATCCCAGGGTAGAACATTAATTACACCAATTCCAGGCAATATTTTAAGAGCAAGAGAAAGATGGAAAATTCTAAGAAGAGGCCACTCATTAAGCAACAGATGGGTATGTTCAGAAGGAAAGTAAACACGCATTGTCAGCAAATGCAAAACTCTCTACATGCTTCAAGGTTCAAGTAGCTTAATTAAGATGCTTAATCATGTGTCAGGATCTTATCCTCTATGGTCACAAGTGTCCTAACACCTGTGTGATGACGTGGAGAGCAGAAGGTCCCTTGTACCCAGCAGGATCTTTCCTGCAAGCATGCAGACTAATTCAATTTCCTCTGAATTCATTGGAAATATTATGACTGACCTGAATTTATGCCCATAATCAGTCATCAAAAGCTGTGTTCATGCAAGGGCTTTCACACACAGGAAATTTAACATCAACAATAAGCAAACTCAAATGTAATACACTGCAGGATGTTAGAGCAACAAACACATGACTTGGCTCTTCATTCTACCTAAATGGCTGGAAAATCCCATGATACTTTAGCAAAATTTCCAGGTAGATTGCAACGTAAATTAAATTCTTAATATTTGCAACAGGAAACCAATATGCTACCCACTTGGCTTTACGCAGCAAATGTTTGGAAGCATTAATTTTGTTGTGCAGCTCTAGTGCCTGGTCCCTTAAGGGTTAGTTAGGACAAGGGCAGGTTTGCCTTGTTTAATTTAGTTGCAGGTATGCTAGAAATGACATTTCAAGCAATTAGTGATTTTTAATGAAAATTATTATATTTATTTATCTATCCATTTTCTTTTATGCACAACACACATTGACATGATCCTTTGTGCTCCTCCTACCATCATGATGATGGCAGTTTAATACAATCAATCTGCTATTACGTTTAAAGCCTCCAGTTTGGTCTGTGGTATGGTTTTCACCGTGCATACACTAATGCTTTGCATTCCTATTTTTGGAGAAGCTCAGAGGTCCCCCAAAGCAGCCTCACCACACACACATGGTCACCCACAGCCAACAGCCAGGAAGGCAGAGGCCAGGAAAGAACTCATCAGAGATGCAACACCGAGCACCAGGGCTGCTGCAAGGCCCTCTCCCCTCCCTGATTTGCAAACCAAATGGGCATCAGCCCTGTGCCCTTGAAGGGAGGGCAGATAAACCTGCTCTGTGCTCAGAGAACAGGGAGAAAAGGTTTAATCCCACCCCAGTGGGGTCCTCTGTATTGAGCCCATCTGCCCCCCTCTGAAATCAGATGCAGGACGTGAGCATGTGGGAAGACAGCAAATATGAGGTGTAATGTGGGAGGAGACAGCTGAAGGAGCTGAATCACCCCCAAAGGACACAAGGAGCAATACCTCATGGGGATGATGGTGTTTGGAGCACGATGTGCCTTTGGAAGGTGGTGTCTGTACATATCAGCCACCCCAGCTGCTGGTGGCTGCTGAACCCCAGCAGCATGGTGAGAGAGGAGGATGCATTTTCTTCCCCTTTGTCTCAGCCTCCCCGAGACCAGCAAGGCCTCAGTCATGGTGTTATGCAGTGTTTAATATCCCTGGCAAAATGCACATTGCACACCTGCAAGTGAAGCAGCTTGTCCTGCACATTATTTCTCTACTCAGAGGAACTCTCAAATGACAAGCTATTAAAAAGAAAATAGAATTCAAAGTTAAAAAATCAACAACGTGGAGATTACTTGGCATGAAGCCCACGGTTTAGACAAATTTGGGGGTTGTGTTGCTGGAGCTGGACCAGAGCAACCATGGGGTTCCCAGCAGAGATCACTGCTGCCAGCAGCTGCTCCTCTGCCACTCACTCCAGAAATGCACACAGAAATCCATGCACTTCTTTCTTCCCTTTAAAGCATAAACATGCAATCACTTACAGCCCTGATACACAATAATTAATCCTTCAAGGATGAACAATGCTCAATTCAATAACACTCTGAGGTTTGGGCAAGCAGGTGTGGCATCATCACAATGTTTTGTTGGTACCACAAAGTCCAGTGGGGATGGAGCAAATTTGTCCCACTCCTCTGCAAGCAGATCAGCAGTGCCAGACATGAGTGACAGGCAGACACTCACTTCTGGTTTGCAGGGATGCTTGGGTACATCAAGAGCCAAGGAAAGCACTGTGAAGTGGCAGCTACTTGCTGGTCGTAGATCAGGAGGGATTTGGGGATGGGTTAATTAACTCCACTTTTATCCACTTCTAGGAGCACCAAGCGAGTCTCAAAGGTTCAGAGGATTCATTCTGCTAAGCCTCCAAATGCCTGCACACAGCCCTGCAGAAATACTCACTGGACTGTCTGATCTACTCAAGACCTGACAGGATTTATTATTTTATAAGGTGCTGCTCTCACTTTACAGGAGGGGAAGCATTATGCAGAAAAACTACAAGTTTTTCTGTAATCACAAGAGAGAATGGAGATGAGAAGGCCAGGATTCCTCAATCCCAGAGTAATATCTTAATCAATGGGCCATATTATTTCAGTTCCTTCTCTTTCCTATCTCAGTGAGAGAATCTTAACCCCACTTCTCTGCAGACCTTTTCTTCCTTCTGTCCTCCCTCTCCAGACTCCTCCCTTCCCAACATGTGGCTCCCACCCTGCAATAGATAAATCTGCCTGATTAGCTCTGCACAAAGCAGTTCATTGATGCTTTTGGGGTATGTGATAGTGCAATATTAGGGCTGTACCAGGGGGGACATGGACATGGGCTGGGGTGACAGCAGTTCCCATTACCTGTTTCCAAAGAAAGAAAAAAAGCCCTGAAAATGAACATCAAAGCATGGACTTGCTTAAAGCAAATTAGATCTGATTACACAAATTGATATGAACTGAGGCAAATTGCCCTTGCCACCCTTTCAACCTCCCTTTCATCACATTTGCTATTTTTCCTGATGTTCCCCCTCTATCCTGGCAAACCCCACGTGCTGCTTGCATCTCCCATATCCCGATGTCCCTAAAATTCCTCCATCTGTGGCACAAAGGGCAGGTGCTACTTCCAGCTACCACTGCTTTGTTCAATTTCAGGAATATTCTGAGGCCATTAGACATTAGAAGATGTCTAGAAATAAAAATACTAATAAAGAGAAGCTAATTCCTTTTTAGACTCAGGACTTTTCACCCTACAAGTTTCATGTATTGCTGCAATCCATGGGAAAAAGAAGAGGAAAATAAATCTAGGAGTGAGAATCAAATTTAAGAGTATAAAAAAAAACCATAAAGAGGGATTAAACTTGGTAATAAACTAAGAAAAGTTTAGTGTGAGAAAGAAACTATGAAACTATGAAAAGAAAGGATGGATTCCCCCTGTTCAGAGCAGCTCTGGGTTGGATGCTGTGCCTCAGGCAAACACAAACCTTGGGGCTTGATGCAACCATGCAAAATTATCAAGCTTCCCCTCCAGACTTTCAGTCCATGATTCTGCCATGTGCTCTTACAAAGGTGTCAATGATACAAATGAATGAAGGCAATGTTGCATTTGAGCAATATTTTAATACATGGCCAGCCAAAGGATCAAACTGAACTGGGCAACCAAGGACTTTTTCTGGGCATGGCAGCTGTGCAAACAAGGGCTGACAAAAGAGTGCTGGATGTGCAGCAGAGCCCCAAACACAGTCTGGCCCCCTTTGCTTCCTGTGGAATCATTGCATGAGCGTGTTGATAGGGGAATTGTCATTTTTCCCTGGCTGTTACTGCTCAAACACAGAAACATCTACCTCCAAAGGGGCTGAAACACATCCCCAAAAAACCACCTGACGTGACCAAGAGTGACATCTGGCCCTGCTTGCCAGTTCCCATCATGCCAAACGGGCTGTGCTGCTGCACTGGAGTGGTGATGAGCACATGTTATGGCACCCCAGTGAAGCTAAAATCCTCCCTTGCCACTGACTGGCAGAGACACCATGTCCTACTCACTGCCACCAGAAGTGCACAAGCCCCCATAGGTCCA